TATCATTTCATAAAGAAGTATTTTAGTAGCAGTGTGCCCATGAAAAAAATCTTTACTACATTCTCTGAAACTTGAATTTCTATGCAGATATAAGAGCAATAAAAGAAGTAAGAATTACTAGGAAACACTTGACAGAAAAATAACAAATTTCTTCTCTGGCCTAAATACAGACTGTACAGTATTTTGGCCTCCAGCTGTGATAGCTCAGACCACCTTATAAGCAAAAGTATAGCTTGATTTGACAATCTCGTAACAAATTTTCTTGGTCTTTGTTTCCATTACCATAGAAAAGATAACATTCTTTTTAACAGCTGTACAGTCTACTATTCAAACAGCAGACAAGAATATCTTTACAGTGTCCATTTGTGATCACTAGTAAGACTTTCCACTGTGCAGAATTCTAGTTTTTGGCATTTCACAGTGTGATTATCGTTGTTGAATTTGGAACAGGCTTAATAAGATGTTTTTTTTCTGTTTTTAATTCTTTAGTTCCTTACTGTGCTGGACTATGACAGCTGCACCACCCGCCACATCTCAGGGATGGAGCAGACTCTTGACATCATGGATAAGGTAAATCCTAAATGAACTATCACATTTGTGAGACACATCCCTAGTTTAAATGCAAGTCCTCTTTCATTAGCAAGAGGTGTTTGTAAGGAACAAGTGCAACTGATACAGAGGTGCTTACTTAGGGACTGTTGGAACATGGCCATAACAGCAGACACAAATGAATATATAGACCCATGTATTTATTCATCTGGCTTTCAGTGTTTCTTCAGCTTGCACCGAGCTGCCTACGGCAGTGGGTCTCTGAGGTCATGCGAAGCAGTCATCATACACAGATTGCTGCACTGATCAACCTGTGGAGAGAAATCTCCTTGCTCTGTTACTGCAATTAAATGTTTTCCCTCCTGAGCTTCTGAATGCAGATCTGCTTATCACTTCTTACACAGCTTTGCCTATAAAACTCACTCTTCCTTTTCTAATGACGCATCCTTCCAGTCTTCACTGCTCAATGTTTCTCTTCAGAAGCAGCAGCCTGTTCAAAATATCACTGCCCCCTATAGTCAAAAGAATAGGCACACAACAATCTGATTTGCTAGCTCCCTCATCTATTTCAACATTCAGATTATGATTATCCCTGGTTTTAAGTGATTTCACTGGATTTTCTCCAGGTACTCTAGCCAGCATCAACCTCCTCTTCCTATTCAAACTTCAGTATTTATCTTGTCCCTTTACAGCACACCCAATAGCTTCAGCACAACCACCCTTTCTTCAGCAGCTCCCAGCAGCTGAGTGTTCTCATCTCAGTGGTCCCACTGACTTCCTTTCCTCTCTCTGCCTTTCAAGTTTTAATATTTGTCTCCTTGACCCATACCTCTTTGTTCCTTGTCTGCTACTTGTATTAGAACTCCATAAAGCATATCAGAACACAGTGTGTGTGAAAGACACTATAGGAAGTAAAGCTAGAACGTGCTACTAGGACAATCAAAACGTGAACGTTTATTGAGCTACAGTGCAGCGCTTAAGATCACCCATTTCCATCGCAAGTTTGTCTGAACAGCTTTGAATAACCTCATATATTTGCTTTATTAATTTGGAAATGGACAGCTGCACAGGAAGAATGTGAAGAACTGTCAGAAAAGAATTAAGGAGCTGGAGAAGCGCATCAGTTTAGAAGAGCAAGCAAACTACAAGCTCAGCCTGGAGCTGAAAGAGAAGCTTGTCTCCGTTTCAGAAAGGAGGCATATCTGCGCGGCAGCCGGTGAGTCCCAGGAACGCACCTGAACTCACAACCACAGAACACTCAGAAGATATCTCCAAGGCTAAACAGTCCTGTTCCCCATCAGTGTCAGCTAAGGGGCGAGGAGCCCTTGCTTTATTTATTGCTGAATTTACTACTCAATGCGCACAATTAGCAGTGCCCTTTCTGCCACAACCATTTAACACATGTAAGAGCATACGTACAGATTACTGCTGTTGTAGCTGAAGTTAATTGACTAAATTGCTGAAAGTAAGTCAAAATATTATAATCATTAATGCCTTCATTAGGCAATATGCTTTCACTCTTTCTCAGAAATGTTCAATCCACTTCTTTCCACACATTCAAAGGAAGAGAGGAAGTACCATGAAGCTGAGGAGGATTTTTTTATTAGAAAAACTGTAGAGATCTTTCCACTAGTGGGAAACAGGAAGGAAACTAAAGGAAGCATTCTCAGTGCCTTTTTGAAATTTTTTGCTTTATTCAGTATTACAAAGGCTCTTAAGCCCAACTGTGAACCTTTTTTAAAATGCTTGCCTATTTTATAGAGAATTTGGAATAACCCCAGGTCTAATATAAATATAATATAGACTATGCATCCCCTACAAGTAGAAGCTAACCCTTATATTTTGTTTTGTGCAGACACACAGCATGTTTCTCAGAAGATCGCAAAGCAGCGTTACCGAGAGATTTTGAAGCAGAAACACTTACGGGGGCTTGTAAAGGAGCAGGAAGAACAGTTTGAAATTCTTCAGGCAGAAGTTGAAAGACTGAGATTGAGAACATACCCAGTTCTTTAAAAATCAGAGCCCAGGTAGATGTATAATATACCATAGTCTTGCCTAAAAGAGCTTGGACATCTACCTTTTCTCCCTGAACTTTTCTTTCCACAAACTATTTCTTCTGTCATTTCTTTTAAAATAACTTCAGTTTGAAAGATGCGTGTTTGTCTGGATTGTACATTTTATACCTAGTCCTAACCCCATTCTATTTCAGTTCATGAGATTTATTTCTGCTGTTCTGATTATACAAACCATGTAGCTCACTGCAGAAGACAGAGAGTACAGGAAATTGCAGGCTGATAGAACAGGTATATTTGTATATCCTCAATCTGCAATAGGCAACTAGAACACTTTAGAAGTGCTGTAAGACATCATGAATTTGCATCTACTAGAATTCATGTCTGTGGCTTTGAATGCATTTTGGTTTTTTAAATATATTTACACCTGTGATGGCACAAGTGTAGGTTGCCAAGAAGATGAAGATGTGTGGTACCTGGCTGTCCCAAAAGCTGCTGTGCCTTATGATAGCACGATTACTCACAGCCACCAGTAGCTGTGGCTGGCGCCAACAGGAAAACCAGGTTTGGAAGCATCTGGCCTCCTGAAAGAGTTGCTGCTCTCTCTGACCCCTTCACCTTGATATGTGGCCTATTTGCCTGCCAGATTTCTTCAAGACAGCTAAGAAAGATAAAGAACCCTTGGAAGAATTAACCACTGTTGGAGACTGAGCTACCTACTCGGGCATGCTCACCGCTTTTTATTTCCCTCTTCCACAGTGTGTAAATTCTTCTCCTCTTTTCATAAATTCACATAAAATCTACATTTATTCCATTGTGAGAACATTAATAGCTTTATAAATTCTTCTCCTCTTTTCATAAAAACTACATTCATTCCATTGTGAGAACATTAATAGCTTTGATAACCAGATTTGATTAATAACTTTGATACCTTAGTTTAAGAAAATTCTACACTTGTAAGGAAAACTACGTCTTGTACACCACCTCCTTTTTTGCTTTACTGTCTCTAACTGGCATCTGTAAGGATGCCAATTACATCTATATTCATCTTGCAGGACTTTTTTCTTAAAAAAATGAAGGTTCCCTAGAAGTAGCACAGTTACAAATTCACCAAGGATTTTGGGGAAACAGAACCACCTCCTTCACCAGGCACCATTATCTTCTCTTACTGATCTAAGAGACACAAGAAAGTGTCTTAATACTCAAAATGTGATTAGGGATAAAGGTTGGTTTTCATTAATTCTGTGGACAGCAACAATCAGTATTCTTAGAAGCAAGCTGTAAATTTAAGTCTAATGAGCCCTGTCAGTGTTGAAAGGGTCTGTATGAACTTTGATTTTCTTTCCCTTGAGATAAGTAAGAAATTGCTCCCTTAAGGAAACAGGAAGTGCCACCTGTAAACAAAGCAGTCAAGGTACAACCAATAAGCAATGCGATTGCATATAAAACAGTATTCACAGCAGAGAGAATTGTGGGCTAGTTAAGATTTATGTATTGCTACACTTGACAAGCGCTGATTCCAAGGAGAATAAAAGCAGAGAGAAGTCAACACACTTGGTGCATAGGCCATGATGAGAAGATACGCAGTTTCAAGTAAAGATAAAAAATACAACATTTATTGAAGGATCAATGTTAATATTTTATTCAGCTTTATGATGCTGCATTTGAAGAAAAACACAGCTTTGTCTAATGGGAGTTCTTATTTATTTGTCAGGAGAAAGCACCTTGGCCTCACGTGAAGTAGCAGAGCAGACAGATGCTGGCTGCAGTTTTCTTGCCTTCCTTTCTTTTATTTCAGGCTGTGGCAGAATGCTGAAGAGACAGCTGCCCTGAAGACAACTGTCTGGACCAGTATCTGAAAATGGTTGCATTATGGCACATTTCTCTCAATTATAATTAAAGATACTGAGAACATCTCATTGCAGCTTCAGAATAGTAACAACATGAAAATTAGTTATCTTTACTTAACTCGCAAAATGCTGCCATTAACTGACTGGCAGCAGGGACATGTATAAAACCAGCTCTATCTGTGAACAAAGAACTGAACTCTTCCCCACCTGAACATCAACAGAAACAACAATTAACTTGACTTTGTTATTTCAAGACAAGTAACCATGGAAAAACTAATCAAAGAATGGGCTTCTTCTTCCTGTTGAAGTATGACTTGATTTAATTTTAATTTTTATTCAATAACAATTTGCTGATCAAGTTATCACGTCAGCTTTTCCAAAACAACACAAGTTCCATCCTTCCTGTCAGCTGATGCCTTTTAAAGTGCCTACTGTATCTAAATACAGAGCTTTTCAAGTATCTCCTGAGAAAGCCTTCTAACCTCAGAGCATGAAGTCCATGGCCTGATCAACTCTTCTTAGGCGATCAGAATTCATTCAGTCTTTTCTGCTCTTGTGTTCACAGAATTGAAAGCTTTGCACCCATTTATTATGCATCAACAAAATCTTCTTCTGTTCTGCTGTAGTGCAACAGCTGGTCTTCCAACCCAAAAGTATCTATCAGCTGAGTGAGACTCACTTTCTTGCCATCTGCAGAAAAAGCCAACTGCAGTTCATAGAGCATGAGCTGGGTACTACTTCTCCACTTCACTATCAAGGCCTGCAGTTCAGATAGGTTGTTCTGAAATTGGGACAAAATGAAACAAAACTGTCATTTGCTGAAATGTGAGGGGTTTTATACCCTGCAGATCTATTTTTACAAACTGCCTTAAACTGAGACAATACACAAACACCACACACACAAAAAAGTAAAAGTGTTGTTGCTTAAATTAATAAATGATTACACTGTGAATTCCAGTTTAGAGGATGACTTAGAAGTGCCTTTTTAGAGGTTTGGTTTGCCTCACCTTAGAGCGATACATCTTAACCAGTTTGAGCCTTCGAAGCAGTTCTTCCTTCTCCTGCACTTGTTTCACCAGCCTTACTTTTTCTTCCAGGGACTGTTGCTGAACAAGACCAGCCTGTAGCACACCAGAATTCTCTGCTGATCCACACAGACCACTCTCCCCTAAGGGACTTTTGAAACCTATGTGTTCAGTGCCACTTCTTTCCAGGTTTTCAGAACCATCTTGTAATCCAGAACAATCTGTACTTGTCTTTGGCAGGCACTCTTTGTCAGAACCAGCACAGCCTTCTTCCTCAGCGTCTATTTTGAGCCGCTTTGCCACGGTAAAACTAGCATTAAACGAACGTCTTGTTCTCCTTAATCGCTCCTTCAGAGCTGCACTCATGGGCTACAAAAAAAACCCACAAACAAAATCAAGCCAGAAGGATCAGGATCTCATTTTTTATCAAATTTCAAAGAACCATTTACCCCGGTTATTTACATAGAATGTCATATATCTAAAGATAATTGTAAAGACAGACTCCCCAATTCTCTATTTTTCACAAACTTGAAGCAAATTCTCTTCTTTCACATGTATTTACACACAGAGCTGCGAGATATGGGAAGCTGTATCTCTACATTTTCTAGGAGCAAATCCTGTATTTTGTTGAGGCAAACCTATTCATCTAGTCTGTGCAAAACTTACATGGTATATTTCAACTTGGCTAATTTTATTCCATCCAGTTCTATTTCCCCCTCTAGTTTAATGGAGATAAGAGTGGTTGGTTGTTTCTTGTTGTTCCATCCCACCACACTTTCTGCATTAGCACTAGTATAAGACATCTGCATACTACTTGAGAGCATTAGAAATTATCTATATAATTTTGACTTGATCATCCTTTGAGATACTTCACTGATAAGCATCTAAAAAGTTATTTCTTTTTCTTCCAAATAAGTTAACAATTATTTGTTATAACCCATGTCTAAACCTTTTACCTGTGAAAATATACTAAAATATGGGAGAGAGGGATTAGTTAAGGAACACTTGCAAACTAGCCCTGTCCTGTATAGGTCCAGATGCTGAACGTGACCGTGCGGCCCTAACGCACGCTGGGATGAACAGCAAAGCAGAGCTCAGTGGTGTGGACAGACTGATCAGTCTGCCTTGTGCAGGGGAAGCAGAACTCACAGGAAGTCATTCTGCACACACAGCAATCCAGAAAAACAGGATTTGAGAAAACTGAAGACAACAGATTGAAAAAACAGTAACAAAACCCAACACAAACCCTAAGTAGTATTTAGATTTATTAGTATGGCATTTGGGTTGTACTGCTTCATTGCTCTGTGTTCAGAGCAAACATCTGCATATTCAGAGCAAAAGACAACAAGCACATTCCTTACCTGGACAGCCTTGCAGCTATGGGTACAAACTGCCTGTCTTCAGCCTCCCAGAAAACCGTATCTCAGTGACTTCTGATTACTCAATGATTTCACAAGCATTTCTCTTACTGCCAGGAGTCACATTATTGGGAAAACAAATAAGTTTTCATACCTGTTTCCCTGAACTAGCCCCCTGCGGAGCTGCTGTCCCAGAATCCTTTGGAGTGTGGCACAAAGATGGTGATTTACCAAACACTGGTTCTTCCATCTTGAGAGGGACAGCAATTTCTGTTAAAAGACAGAATGAATTATGTATGGTGCCAATTTCACCCAATTATAAAGAGCCATGTGGCTGCAGAAGTGAGTAAAAAGCTCTAAATAACAAATACTAAGGCTTATTTTCTGACTGTTAAAAACAACCCACCTGCATAAGTCACACAACTGTTGCACATGTTAAGTAGCTTCATACTTTGTGAATGTGGCTTTTCTTCAAGAAGATGAATAACACTTGTAACTCATATAAAGCATCTTACTGTCCATTTTGTATATTATTTTTCCCTCAGTCATAAAGCTCTGTGGAAATTTTTATTTCAGCTTCCACAGTCTTACAGGCATTCTCCGTTGTTTTGGTTTGGTTTTTTTTCCTATTTGATATCTGCTTTCAAGTGTTAAAAAAGAGCAAGACAAATTATGAAGCAATTGAACCCATTATAGCATGCCTATAAATCCAAGGTCAGATCCTGCAGCATCAAACTCATCAAAAAAAGCTCACTCCAAATAAACTGTATTTTCTTAATAACACTTCTAACTCGTATAAAGCATCTTACTGTCCATTTTCTATATTATTTTTCCCTCAGTCATAAACTCTGTGGAAATTTTTATTTCAACTTCCACAGTCTTACAGGCATTCTCCGTTGTTTTGGTTTGGGTTTTTTTCCTATTTGATATCTGCTTTCAAGTGTTAAAAAGGAGCAAGACAAATTATGAAGCAATTGAACCCATTATAGCATGCCTATAAATCCAAGGTCAGATCCTGCAGCATCAAACTCATCAAAAAAAGCTCACTCCAAATAAACTGTATTTTCTTAACTTGAATGACCCTTACTGCGTATCTAACTCAAAGGAATAATCCAAACTAAACCAGGTTGAGAAGAACCAGTCCTTCCATTTAACTGCAGCCCAAGCAGTGATAAAAGGATTGTTGGGAGCCACAAGATTTTTATTGTCCACATGTATAAACAATCAATCCTTTCTATGAAACAAAATGATTGGGTACCGAGGTCTGAAAATAATCTGCTGTCTCGTTTGATCCTTCTGGGGATGCTGCTTAAAAAGTAATTACTCACACAAGTAGAATTTTAGATTCAAAGTAAGTATCCCCAGTTCACTCAGAAAAGCGTCCTAATTAAAGTGATAAGTCATACCTCCCAGCATGTGCCAACTGCAAATTGATTTGGCAATGTTTACTTAGTTAAGTGAACCACCTGCTAATGACCAAAATGCAGCTGGAGCATCATCAGCTATGCCTGTGTTTACCTGCAAATTGCAATTACAAGTTTCAAAACAGATGCCTCTTACAAATATAATCCTGCAACAAGCCACTGGGCAACACAAGACTGGCACAAGGGGCTTCCTCTTCAGAGATGTAACATACCAAAGCTTCAGCATGCCAAAGCCTTACAAACCCAGCAACCCTGCTCTTCCTGGCTCTCGGCCAAAGGACACAGGTCCTTATTTATCTTACAAGTCACCACTCCTCCCAGTTGTTCAAAATTCAACATACAGTATTATATTAGAAAAAAACACAACCAGACTTCACTAAAGAAAGTCCTGTTAATTGGGTATTTTTCCAATCTATCAATAAATCAGGAAGCCCACAGCACCCATTAAAGATAAAGGAATTTATCACTATTATTTCTTAATGTGAGCAAGAGCCTAGAAAAAGCTACATCATGCCTTAGTATACAGCATGTAGCAAATATGTAATAAATGTTACTATACAGCAAAATCATTTCAAGCCCAAGAGCTAGCTTCAGCTTGTTCAATTATAAAAAAAAAAATCCTGTGAATCTGTACCTTGATATTCTCATGCAGATTATATGTCTTCAAATGACCTCACCTACAATACTTTTTCCAGTGGTTCACTAATGCTGTTACTTTAACTCTCCGCTTCGCAGCACATTCATATAAGTCACCTGCACTCTTAGAATCCTTTCCCCAAGATCTCAGTGTAAAAAGGCTTTACATCTTCAAGCAGAGATGCCATTTAGCACACAGGAAAATAATTCAGTCCAGCACATACAGAAAACTCGGGCCAGGAGGGGAAAAGACAATTCTGTATTTCAGTACTTACTTGATTCTGCACTTCAGCTAAGTCTCTGATGCTACGTGTCTCGCTTTTCCTGCTTACAGCTACATTAACAGCACTCACTCCTTTTACGTTCTCCTCTCACCAACCTAAGGCTCTGTTAACGCTCAATAACCATTTTTGCCTAGCTACGTTTCCACCCTGAGAAGCAGAAAGGCGGCTGAGCAGCCCCTAAGCAGAGCCACGGATCCGAGGGGGCACCGCAGAGACACGCAGCGCAGTCACAGCCCACGGCCGGGGAGCGAGGGGCCCCTCGGGGAGCCCGCGACCGCGGCCCTAGGGAGGCCCACCCGCCCTTGAGAGCCAGCTGGGCCAGGGCCCGGGACGAGACAGTGCAGAG